ATCCCGAAATGGTTGATGAAGGTGAGCAAAATTGTGGGCTGTGCTGCTGAGCACGCAGTGGGATGCTACTTCTACAGCTTATATGTCAAGAGTTCAGCTGCAACTCATATGGATATATCCACCTGAGCTTTAGCATAGCTAGAGCTGGCTGCTAGTGAGGCCATGGCAACCTGAAGGCTGTCGTTTTGCATTTGAATCTGATGAGCCTACTGACCCAAAGCTACTGTGTCCAAATCAAGGCAACCAGGCAGTGCAGGTGTCTGCTGGAAGGTCAGTAGCCAGGTTGCTTAGTTTAAACAGCTGGTGAAATGGAACCAAACTGCATATTCGGGAAGGTGCTGCTTGGGTGAAGTCGGTGGCACCACAGCAGCCTGCCCAGCCACCACCTCCACAATGGTCTGCACCACCAACATTTTCGTTTCTGCTGCAGCAAGTGGGAACCACGGGCAGCAAAGAATCGATGCCACAGTCTGCCACAGCTGCCCGTCCTGACCTCCTCTCTGCTGTCTTCAGTTCCCAGGAAGGCAGCAAACACCACCCTAAAGTGGGAGGGGTAGAGGCGGGTACAAGTAGTTGTCAGCTCCCAGGGTAAGGGAGTACTCAGCTAGATGATGGTAGACAAACGTCCCTACTCCCAGCTGAGCAGAATGAACAGCTAGGCTCCACTCCCAGCTGTTCTTAGCAACCTTCTCTGCTTGGAGAGTTAATTTCTGCTTTCTGATTGAGATTCAAGGCTCATTTCCCCTCTGCTGAGAGGCTCCATGGGGAACCAGTGCTGCTGATCCTCAGGAATGGACCACAAGGGGACATTGGTGACATTACGATTATCAGAGAAATAGCAAATAAAAAAACACATATCCTATTCTCCTCCCTCTGTGTAGAGATCAGCAGAGTCGGCTGCTTTGATTCTCTCATAGTGCTTAAAGGGATGAATTCACCCAGGCTCCAAACTGGTTTGTAGCCTACACTGACCACTGAACCCTGTGTCTGCACTCTTATCAATACCAGAGTTGTACACCTTGAATATGTCGACACATACTACCTTCACTTACTTGCACTATTTCTTTTTGTCTAGGACCAAAATTAAATTTTTTGCAAACCCCTTTTCAAATCAAACCAGGCATTTCAGAATATGTCCTCAAAGGCTGTGGTGGTGCACTCCTTCCCCCTCCCCCATTACAAAGGCACAGTGATGTTAGAAATGCTTTGCATGATAATTTGATGGTTTGGTATCTATTTATGTGTGCTGCTTGTAATGTGGAAATATATCATTATAATGAATTATTGTAAAAAAAAGCATTTACTCCAAGTGCTTGATATACTGTCATGAAAAATACATACAAAATGCTGCAAGTATGAAAGAGTG